TTGTATATTTTTTTTTTGTCAAAATCCAAAAGTAGGTAAGGTATTTTGGATTGTGCTTGTTGTTTCCCCTGCCATGTTGCCCTGGGAGTAGTGTCGCATTTTGAGCCGTTGAAGTGTGTAAGAAGTCTTGGCTAGGGGTATGTCATTTATACGTTTGGTAACATTCACTATGGTTTTTAGATGGGTATCCTCTGGCTGTACAGTGTGTGCATTTGTGACATCACGTAGAGTGTGCAGCAGTTTGATGTGTTTGTGGTTAGCCGTATGCTTCATATATGATGCTCGGCTGATCAGCAGGCCTCTGATGGAGGGCTTGATAGGGGATGTTTCTGGGAGATCATTGAGCTGGAAATATTGTTCTAGGTTTTGCGTCATTTGGGTTAGGAACGTAGGGTCATGCAGGAGAGAATTGTTTAGGCGCCACGGTGCCTGTCCTCTAAGTGGGAATGGACCTCTGAGGGTCTGTGTAAGCGGTGCGTGGTCGGAACACACAATGTCTCCAATGGAGCACTGGGTGATCTTAGGGAGTAGGGGGCCTGACACCATGATGTGATCTATTCTGGAGAACGACTTGTGTATGCTTGAGTAAAAAGTGAATTCCCTTCCCATAGGGTGAAGTGTTCTCCATGCATCGTAGACATTGTGTTCTGATATATGTTTGGGAAGAGCTCTGCTTTGTGTTCTGGTTGCAGAGGGTCTAGGAGATGGTCAGGTAGGGTTGTGTCCATGTGGGAGTCTAACACATGGTTTAGGTCTCCACATATAATAAGTGCTCCCGTGTTTGTTTTAGGGAGTTTGGTAAGAAATTTTTGTAGAAAATTTCTTTGGTAGGTATTCAGGCTGTATATCCCTACTAGAGTATATTCAACTTTATTTATCATGCAATGCAGGATAATAAACCTCCATTGAGTGTCTTTCTGAATGCGTAGCAGTTTAAATGTCAGAGAGTGGTGTATTAGGAATGAGACCCCCTTTAATTTGGATGTATGGGTTGCGTGGAATTGGGTCGGGTATTCGCGGAGGCCAAACCTAGGGACTCTTTTCGTGATGAAATGTGTTTCTTGGATACAGAGTATGTCAATCTTTCCCTGTCTCGTTGCCTCCAAGAGAATGCAGCATTTATGTGAGTGATTCAATCCTTGTGTGTTATGTGATTGTATTTTCATAGTCTGGTTTTGGAAGGGTGGTGCTGGATGAATGAATCTGTGGGGAGAGGTCCTTCCCATACACTCCTGGATCCAGAGGTTGGAGTCCCAGAGTGGGGAGGTGACGGCGAGATCCCAACCAAGCTACGGCGGTTTGTGGAGTCTGAGGTGCCTATGGTGTTAAGTGCGGTGCTGATGGTCCTTGAGAAGCTCTAGGAGCATCCATCGGCATAGGTAGTCCATCACACCATGTAACTGCATTTCTAGGAGAGTCTCTTGCAGGTACAGTGGATAAATGTGCCAATCAACATATTGATTACATGTTAAGAGTGACCGCATATATCCAAGCAAAACATGAGGCTTATGTAGCGGCACATCTATGTGCATTTGTTGCAGGCCCAGTGGGTATGTGTACTGAACAACTCATGGCAGTTATATAGTGAGTCTAAAAAGCTGATATCTAAACTATATATACGGCCTAAGTAACGGCACAGTGAGGCAGGTCTTTTGCAGGTTCAGTAGACACGTTTGCTGGACAACAGGTTGCAATTACATATTGAACATGGAAACTAGAGCTAAGCAATATTTCCGGCCCATTTAATGAGACGTCTATGGGAGTCTTTTGCGGGCTGCTTGCCATTCCAGTATCAACTTACATTGCAACTTATTTGCGATTACATATTAAACTTGGAAAACTTAAAGCGAAACATGGCATGCGGCCTGTGTGGCGGCACGTTTATATGAGTCACTAACAGGCTCAATGGGCCTGTTTACTAAATATTATGTTGTGGTTGCATATTGGACCCGAAAAACTAATAGCTAAATTAGGTGCGTGGCACGTCTGTGTGGGTCTCTAGTGGGCTCAGTGAGCCTGCTTGCTAAACTACTCATTGCCATTATGTAGTGATGTCGCGAACCCGAAATTTTCGATTCGCGAACGGCGAACGCGAACTTCCGCAAATGTTCGCGAACCGGCGAACCGCCCGAAACGCCATTGACTTCAATGGGGAGGCGAATTTTAAAACACACAGGGACTCTTTCTGGCCACAATAGGGATGGAAAAGTTGTTTCAAGGGGACTAACACCTGGACTGTGGCATGCCGGAGGGGGATCCATGGCAAAACTCCCATGGAAAATTACACAGTTGATACAGAGTCTGGTTTTAATCCATAAAGGGCAGAAATCACCTAACATTCCTAAATCACAATGAATAGGGATTGACACCTGACATATGACATATTGACACCTTGACATATGGATTGACACCTGTCCTCAGAGCCCTGATGCACACGGACACAGAGCAGAATAGAGACTGGTCCCCCTACATAGGGTCACTTGGCAGATATGGATTGACACCTGTCCTAAGGATCCCTGATACACACTGACACAGAGCAGAATAGGGACTGTTCCCCCTACATCGGGTCACTTGGCAGATATGGATTGACACCTGTCCTAAGGTTCCCTGGTACACACTGACACAGAGCAGAATAGGGACTGGTCCCCCTACATCGGGTCACTTGGCAGATATGGATTGACACCTTGTTACAAACTGCTATTTGTAACGGGCCCTTTAAATGGCAAATTGCCCTGCTTCCCTGGGTTGTGGAGAAGCCTATTTGCCAGCCTCCTCCCGCATGACTATGGCCCCTGGGAGATTGTGAAAATGTATGCACTTTTATTTGGTGTGTATGGCCCTTTAAGACTGTCGGTGGGCATATTGGGGCTTATGGACTCTTTATGTGACTGGTGCTGGCCCTTTAAACACCTTTTTTGGGACATCAGGAAGATTGGGACACTGCCCCTTTAAGGCCGTGTCCCCAGACTTGTTGGGGACACGGCCCCTTTAAGACGGTGTCCCCTGTGTCCCCAGACCTGGTGCAAACCCTTTGTGCCTGCCTTGCTATTTCCCACTTGGTTCAGTAAATGGGAAATTATTTCAGCTGCAGAGACTAAGTCCCATTCGGCGATGGGACTTAGTCTTTTTTTCAGCCGTTTTTTTCAGCCTTATTTCAGCTGCAGAGACTAAGTCCCATTCGCGATGGGACTTAGTCGTTTTTTCAGCCTGAAATAGACCGACCTCACAGCCCAAATCTATGGAACTGTTTTGGGCAGGAAAATGTGCTTGCGGTCGGTCATAAAGGGACCTCCAGCTAACTTTTTAACCCCTGGATGGATTTGGCTGATTTTTGGTTATGTTTATGTTTTAAGTGTGCTGATTCCAAATATGTAATTATGAAGATGGGATGTGTAGTTTTAAAGTTACAGGGTATGGCTAAAAACTGTATTTTTACTGCCTGTGTTTAATTATGTTAATCTCTTCCCAAACGTCATTTCATTCAAAGTGGAGAGAATGTTAAAAAATATATTTTTGTTCGGAGTGTGAGAAATGCTTTTCAGCCGCTTCTAATCTTAAGCATCATTTGAGGAGCCATACAGGAGAGAAACCTTATTTGTGGTGTGTTTAGTATTGTTCTGATCAGTTTAATACCTTCCGCGTCTCCTATCAGTGGACGTGTATATGGCAGCCATTTTAGGAACCGTACACCTGGGACCCGAGCAAGGTCACCTCGTTCAACAGGCTTGCAGCGTATCCTCCAGGAAGAAGAGCCTGAACCCTTACCGGCTGCACGTGTCTTACCTGTACATGGTAAGCTGCTGTGGTTCCTTGATGAGCCAGCTGCCCGTGAGTTAACATGTCCCGTGGAGAAGCACTCTGTCCTGTAAAGCCTCACCAAAAAAAAGGAGTGGTGTGTTTAGTATTGTTCTGATCAGTTTAATACCTTCCGCGTCTCCTATCAGTGGGCGTGTACACGGCATTGATTTTTGTAACAGGGAGATGGAAGAAGAGGCTTGGTCGGTCCTCTTACTGCAAATTTGGGGCACTGCGCGGTCAAGCTAATGTGACACCAGATAGGAGTGGTGTGTTTAGTACTATTTTTATCAGTTTAATACCTTCCGCGTCTCCTATCAATGGACGTGTACACGGCATTGATTTTTGTAACAGGGAGATGGAAGAAGAGGCTTGGTCGGTCCTCTTACTGCAAATTTGGGGCACTCCGCGGTCAAGCTAATGTGACACCAGATAG